GCTTTGCGCTCCGAAAGATTTTAAATTTTTTACTTTTGTACCCTAAAAATTAAATTTTTCATATTACACTTTTAATGTATTAAAAATATTGTAATGTGACCTTTCTGTTAACTTATGTTTTTTTTTTTCATTAAGAACCAACTCATTGACACCGATGAAAAAACTAACAAAAAGTTAATAAAATAATACTTTTGATACATTGAATATGCAATATGAAAAATTTAATCTTTGAAGGTCTAATATGATGAATTTAATTTTTAAGAGTATAAAGTAAAGAGATTGAAATCTTTTGGTATAAAAAGTGAAATTCTCCCAAAGAACTATGAGATAAAAATAATTGGTGACAAAATTTCACACCTAAAAGTTAATTTTTTCTTGACAGGCAAGTTTTGAAGTCACAAAATAATAATAAAAAATTCATATAAGGAAAATTGTAATAATATTTAGACCTAATTTACTAACATAATTTATTAACCTAATTCATCACGACCTTTAGATTGTTAGTAGGTCTAAAAAAATATTAGGACCCAAAATAAATCCATAACCTAATCAGATCATTAAATTAAATTCAAATAACTTTGTTGTAATTAAAAACATTAATCTTTTGCAGCCTACTTTGGAACCATATGCCAAATTTATAAAATGAGATTTCGCAAGAGGTAGTAAGGAAAATATCATGCGTACTACGCGACCCGAAAATGACCCAATGCAAAATACATATTTATTTTTTTGGTTCAATGGTCGGGGGTGTCCAAGTACCTCAACTAATTTTCTCCTCAATTTGGTCATAGGTAAGTCATTTACGTTGAGATTAAAATATTTATTATAAATAAATTCCTTATGGTCTGACTTCGACGAATTGTCAAGGCTCGAACTCAGTACTTCTGGATTAACAAGGCTCGAACTCAGTACTTCTGGATTAACAGCTCAATCTCATGGTCTGTTACCACTTGAGTTATCATTTTCACCAAACCTAATGTTGATTTTTTCAAAAAGGATTGAGAAGTGCAAGATTAGAATTTAGAGAGAAATTTGACGCACCCCTGATACATAAATTGACTCAGACACGTCTAACAAGAATATGGAAAAAAAAAATTAGAGAGAGAGAGAGACGTACGGGCGAGATGGACGACAAGAGTGGTATGTCCTTCCTCGTGGCGCCAAGTGCAGTAAGGATCGAATTCTTCGTATGAAGTTGTTGCCATTACAGCCTCACTTTATTCTCCTCAAGGTAGTGAATATTAAAAGATTGTGTTTTGATGTAATGGAAGATATGAAGCATATTGCCTGTTTGCAAGCCATTTATACGAGAGAATGTCTAAGAGCTAGGTTTCTTTTGGGTTATCTCTCAAGTTAGAATCATTCTTTTCTGTGAATTTGGCATTCATTTTGTTATACAGATGATTGATCTCTTCTAACATGAACCATAAAAAAATTCCTTTTTTGATTAATACCATCTTCTAAAATCTTCTGATTCAGACATACCCATCATGTAACACGGTGATGAGCTTTTGGTGGAAATGGCATCTCCCTGATAAAACCCCTATAACCCGAAAGCGGCACCGATTAATAACACTAATCACGGCTCAATTAAAAGAACACAATCCTGGTAAAACTCATATGCTATCAAATTCCCAATATATCCGCTCCGCTCTCTCATTGGCTCATTGTCTTTTGGGGTCTTAATCCCAAAACTAGGTTTGTTAATGTAAGTAATTAACGTAGAATGAATCTGGGTTTATATAGATAAAATAGTGACTCTTTCGGATAGCCACCATACAGACTGATGCAATCCAAAAGACATCATTGATGTCTACTTAGTAATCAATAAATGAACCTAATTCGTCAAATAAATTTTCTCCACAAAAATAATGATAGATCTAACCCACACCTACCCCTGCCCGTGCAGGGTGCCCCGGGGGGGGGGGGGGGGGGGTTTGACATTTATGAGCTTAAACAATTTTTGAGTCAACACTTTGAGATAAAAAATTTGGGCTCTCTCAACTACTTTCTCGGACCAGAGGCGTCTCAATCATCTACTGGCTATTATTTGACCCAGGCTACGTATGCTTCTGCTCTTCTTTCTTGTGTTGGTCTTACCGATTGTAAGACGACATATTGTCCTCTGGAGTCCAATATCAAACTCCTTCATACTGATGAAGAGCTTTTTCTAGATGTTACCTATTATTGACAGGTTGTTGAGAGTCTCATGTATCTCACCGTTACTAGGCTGGATATTGCCTATGTTGTGCATCTCGTTAGCCAGTTTGTGTCTGTGCCCATTCTTATCATTATGCAGTTGTTCTTCGCTTCTTACACTATGTGAAAGGGACCTTGTTTCATGGACTTCATTTTTCATCTCACTCCTCCTTGACATTACAGGTTTACTCTGGTGCTGATTGGGCTGATGATTCTACTGATCGCTGGTCTATTGTTGTTTTCTTTTTCTATTTGGTGACTCTATTATATATTGGTGGAGTAAGAAGAAAAGGGTTGTTGCTCACTCTACTACTGAGGTTGGGTACCGAGTACTTACTGATATTACTTCCGAACTTCTTTGGCTTTGCTAGCTTCTACAAGATATGAGTGTTCCTCACCAATTTAGTACTTTTCTTCATTGTAATAATCACAATGTTGTTCAGATTACTCATAACGATGTCTCTCATTAGCGTACAAATACATCGAAATTGATTGTAATTTTGTGCGTTATCACCTACAAGAGAACACTACATGGTCGTCACCGTGATTTGGTTTGCAAATTCTAGTTGGCATCTTTGATCCCACCTTGAGTTTGAGGATGAATGTTAATGTTAATATTATTGTTTATATGTTTGTTCCCCATCAGTTAAGCTATAAAACTTCACTAATTTCTTGTACTATAAATAAAGTTCCTTATATGCAATGGTTATTCATTTTCTATCTCTATTTTCACAGTATCATTGCTCTATCTATTCATCTTTTTTTTTTATTTAAAAAAAAGAGTTCTGCATCTTTTCGGGACAATGGTGGCCAGTGATAAGTGGGTGGTTGTCAACTATACTAACATGCCGGGTACATGATCAGTTTCTTTACCAATTTAAACAACAATGCAACAACTTTCCAATATAAATTTACTAGTTATTGCTTGTGTCTGAAGGTATAAAGTAAAAAAAAATGATAAACAATAAACATATTTGTATTCATGTCTAAAATCAAATCATAAATATAGAGAAGAGATAAATGAATTTAAGCATCGGTTTATAGTGGGGGTGAGAGTTAGTGGGTGGTAGTGGTGGTGGTAGGAGACGATTATTGTTGTGATGGGTAGCAATAACCGTGGTGGGGGCGAGGGCGACGGTAGCTGTGGTGGTGGCGGCGACGGTAGCTGTGGTGGTGGCGGTGGCGATAGGGGCGGCGGCGGCGATAACAATGGTGGTGGCGGCGATGGTGGTGGCGACGATAGTGACGACGACGGTGGTGGCAACGGTGGTTGTGGTGGCGGTGGTGATCGTGGTGGTTGCAACGGCGATGGTGGTAACGGCGACGACAGTGATGGTGTTGGTGGTGATAGTAGTGGTGGTGGCGGTGATAGTGATGGGGGTGGTAGTGGTAGAGGTAATGGTGAGGCGATTTCAAACACTATTTTTTTAAAAAAATATTTATGAGAAATAAATTCTAAAAGTAATTTTAAAAAATTACTTCAAACACACCATTAGAGGCATATTTTTGCTATTAAATTTATGGTGTTAATATTAACCGTTAGATTAACTTTAAATTAATATTTAAAATAATCTCAACCTCGAATAACAAAAATTATTTTATTTATCTTTTGAAATTTAAATTATAAGCTATTTTATTATATAGATAAATTTGGGGATCAAATTAGTTCAATTGGAAGCTAGAGGAGCTATGTGTCACTAAGCACACAATAAAGGGACCGCTAGTATATTTTAGTCTACCCTTTCTATCTCTTGTTTCAACAATTTTAGCAAATTCATTATGTAGCCTTGAAAAAAAACAAAAAAATGTTATCTAAACAAAATTTATTGACATTATTTGTTGATTTAATGCATTATAATGGGCCCAAATTAATAGTGAAATTCATTGTCAATCTAATGACAAATAATAAATAAATTAGTAAATTAAGTTTCAATAATATTTCTCAAAATAAAAATATCATTACATTCATGTGAATGGTGATGAGAGGCATGAGTTGATAGAAGGAAGAGAAAAAATTGAATAATGCTATGCATCTCAAATAATTTACCTCAAATACTGTCGAATTATGCAAATTACGATAATGGGTCCATTTAATGTTATAAAAAGATGTGCAATGCCACGTCATTTTGTATTCACTTTTTCGTAAATTATTTAGGAAGCATAGCATTACTAGAAAAAATTAGAGATGATAGCGGTGGTAGGTATTCAAATTTTCTCTTCCACCAAATGTCCCTTAGCTATACCGGCGTGCGCCACACGTGATCACTTTTGATACCAATTTAAATAGTAGAATTAGAATTTATCTATTTATTGTTCTTCTAAATGTGTGGTTTACTTGTACCAATCTCTCGATACAACAATGTAATTTGTCAAAATAAAATAAAGTAAAAGAGAAAACAAACAACCATATATCCAAAGAGTAATTCTATTTGGACACATTCAGTTCGGAGAGCACTTTTTTCATTAAGAATTCCTCTTTACCTTTCGTGTGAATTTCCCATAGGCGAATTTAAAACTTGTGGGGCCTTATCTATTCCATCTCTCGAGTCCCCGAGAAAACACCCTTCCCTTTTGGATTCCATATCTCTTTTCATTTTTTAAAAATTTGACTTAATTTACTAACTTAATGATATAACTTCTATGAAACTATTGGATCAACGCTAAGTTCTAATATTTAATAGGTTCTACAGTCAATTTAAATGTCATAATGAATTTGACCAATAAATTAGGTCTCAACAACATTGCTCATATCCAAAAGTGCATATCATCAGTCAAGTCCACACAAAATGTTAGAGAACAAGCTTTCATAGTATAACATCGGTGGCTTACATTTTGAATTTGCTCGTAATGTCAATAACTATGCCATTTTTACATCAAATATACAAATCAAAAGACGGATTATCTAGAAACACCCATACAAACACACAACAAAAGCACCAAGAGTCGACACCGCCGCCACTGCAACAACCACTGTCACCGTGAACTTCTTCAACTCTATGACGGACTGTTCCAAATTTGGAGTCCGATCAAATCGTTTTCGGAGGGGGGATTCCTTGTGTTTTTTGGGCATCTCAATGTATAGAAGGCCTTTGACAAACTTTGCATGAATGTCATGTGCATTGATATCCTCTGGAATTTTGACTTCTTTGCTAAAACGATATCGTTTTGTTGCAGAAAGAGGTCGTTCTCCAGAAATTTTCATGGCTCCAAAATTACAAATGTGAATTTTTAGCTGTTCCTTATGAAAATCTTAAACAAAAAAGAAAATACAAATTAAAATTGAAAAACATTAACGAACATTAGCAGCAAATTAAATTAATAAATTAAGTTCAAATAACATTGTTATAATAAAAAAATATTAGTCCTTTGCAGCCTACTTTGGAACCACATGCTATAAATAGAGATTTCACGGGATATAATAAGGAAAACGTGACATGTACTTAATTTAAGGACTTAATATCAAGACGTAATCAATTATAGTTATTTAATTAAAATTGAACTTTATTTAAAATTGAAACTAGTGACAATAAATTAAGTTTTCAAATTAGGACTTAATAGCATTGCCTATTAGTAATATATTTTTTTTGAGTTAATTACACTGGAGGTCCCCAAAGTATAGAGTTTGTCTCATTTTAGTCCCAAATATTTCAGTTGCATCATTTTGATCCCCAAAGTATTGAATTTGTTTTCATGTTATCCATCAAACAAATAACATTCAAATTGATATTTTTTTATCATAAACTTATGACGTGATACCTAAATGTGGACAAAAAATAATTTGGGTAGTTCTTAACCAAAATTTAGGTAGGTCTTGACCAAAAATATATAATATGGGTAACTCTTCATCAAAATTTAAATAACTCATGATCAAAACAGTGTAATTTAGATAGCTCTTTGACTAAAATTTGGGTAAAAATTTGGTCAAAAGTTATCCAAATTATTTTTTTGGTAATATGTGAAAAGTTTATAATAAAAAATCGTTAGAAATCTAGATGTTGTTTGCTTTAGGGAACACATAGAAATATATTCAATATTTCAATAATTAAAATGATGCAATTGAAATATTGAGAACTAAAATAAAACAAACCACATGCTTTGAGGATTTTTAGTATAATTAACCATTTTTTTTTTCAGTTGCATGGTCAGAGTGTGCGGGTTACCTTACGTATACCTCAACAAATCTATTTTCTGATCTGATCAAAGGTTGGCCGCCCATTTGTAATATGACTCTATTTGTTCGGATCATTTTCAAATAAATCAATAAAATTAAAAAAATGAGTCGATGTCAATTCATACATATTCATAACACAACCTTTTTTTTTTTGTTGGTTGAAAAAGTAATGAGGCAAAAGAGAGCGTCAAGAGACCACTTCGATAACCCTCATCGGTGGGATTATGATGTCTTGACCGTATCTATTACTCATTTCAGGAATAAACTTAATTAAATTAATATAACGGTCGACTAGAATCTCACAAGACGAGTTGAAAACGACCCGATTTAACATACATGAGTCATATGATACGCCCAAAGTATTAATTTTGTACACAGGATTGAGCAGTGCGATAAGAAGGGAGAGAGAGAGAGACGTACGGGGAAGATGGATGACAAGAGTTTTATGTCCTCCGTCGTGGCGCCAAGTGCAGAGAGGATCGAATTCTTCGTATGAAGATGTTGCCATTACAGCCTCACTTTATTCTCCTCAAGGTAGTGAATATTAAAAGATTGTTTTTGATGTAATGGAAGATATGAAGCATATTGCCTGTTTGCAGGCCATTTATACGAGAGAATGTCTAAGAGCTAGGTTTCTTTTGGGTTATCTCTCAAGTTAGAATCATTCTTTTCTGGACCTTTGGCATTCATTTTGTTCTACAGATGATGATCTCTTCTAACATGGACCATGAAAAATTCCTTGTTTCATTAATACCACCTTCTTAATCTTCTGATTCAGACATACCCATCATGTAACACATTGATGAGCTTTTGGTTGAAATGGCATCTTCCTGATAAAACCCTATAACCCGAAAGTGACACCGATTAATAATACTAATCAATGCTCAACTAAAAAAAAACAATCCTGATAAAACTCATATGCCCAAGTACCGGTACTTAGTCTCACAAATACCAGTACCATGCTGTTATGAGCCTAAGTACCGGTACCTAGTTTTCATAATGTCCAGGTACCAGTACTACTTACTTAGGTATTGATACCTCTTCTTAAAAAAATTGAAATTTTAACTGTAACATTGTTGAGCCTTCACATCTTGAGTCTTTTCTTTGGATGACATAAATAGTTAAATTTTAAGTTCTAGACTTAGGATTTACACTTTGGCATGGTCGTATAATTAATATATATACATGATATGCATTGGGTAGTGCTCCCGTACGAAAGAGACTCTGTCCGAATTCTGTTTTGTTACGATCCCGGTGAATGGAGTGTAACGACATGGTATTGAATTATACGGTAACCATGAGTATTCTATAGATTGATGAGTGATCAACGGGTTAAAAAAAATTCCCAAATTTTGGAGCGTCACAACTTCAACCTTCGAGGTTCCTATTTTCACTTTCTAAAGCTCCACCTAGTAAGTGAAGACCAAGAGAGTCAGAAAGTCCAACCGAAAACCTTTCACCGCACTACACGATTCTTTCGCAAAGCGCTCTCTTAGACGTTTTCACTCTTACCCCCGCTAGCCAAGAGGTTTCAAGGTACCATGTGACCAAGTGAAAGTGAACAACTTCGAACAACTCTTCTAAATAGCGTACCCTTTGTTTCTACTCTTTCTTTCTTCTAAAAGAACCTCCCAATATATCCGCTCCACTCTCTCATTGGGTCATTGTCTTTTGGGGCCTCTAATGAATTTGCACCACCCTTTGTTTCCAACAAATTTAATAGTTAACCTTCCCACACAATGGGGCAGGATGTAGCTCCCCCAACTTAAGTGTGAGTCAAACATTTTCCCTCCTGTTAAATAGCCAAACATCTTTACAATTTAGTTACAAAGCAAATTTACAATCAAAGTTTCAGCAAAAAAATTATCTGATTATAAAGTCACTTGATTGCCGAATAGAAGCATAATTGCGATCAACAACGGAATTAAATCTCCACAAAATCGATTCCAATCCTCTCAATTTCAGATTTTGTCAATTTCGATCAAATTCAATCATTCACCACTAAATTCATTAAGAAAAACATTTCTTCCAACATCAATTTAACAAGGATAAAATTGGAGGATAAAGATCACTACACTATTGTAGAATTGGTTAGCAGTAGAAAGTTTTTGTAGCCAAGGCAACAAGAACTATGCTTTACTATGTCCCAAACATAGTTTTGTGGCCAAGAAAACAAGAAAATCTCTGTAGTCCCCTAAGGAATGCTCTTACATATGGCATCTCTCAGTTCCATGCCCTAGTGAAACCAATCGTATAACCAGATTTTAAAAATAAGAAATCACAAAGGTGGGACCCATTAATCATAGTAAAGGAGTTCCCTATGACAACACTCCTAAACACATGTTAAACTAACCAAAAAAAATTATCAAAAATTATTTTTAAATCAATGTAAATTAGTTGGGTTGGTGGGATCCACTAATCTTTTTCAATAGAGCTTGTTGATTCATCCATTCACGTTTATTTGATAAATCCGTCATTATTCTCTTTTATAAAAGATTTATACAGCAAAGTTGCACAACATGATAGTGGTTGGTTATGTCCCATGGCGTGCATTATTGTATAAGATTGGCCGTTGCAATATAGAAATAAATTCTCGGACCTACAAAATTTTCTAGTAAAATTACAGTTCTTATTTTCTGTAGGTTATGCAGAAAAATAATTTTTCCCCGTGAAAGTTGAAGGTGCATATATGATTTCCCATGTTACCAATATCAATTAAAAAGATTTTATTGTAATTTTCCTCTTTTTCAAACTATAAAAAAGAAAATTTTTAAAATTTTTCTTGTACATATTTCATGCTAACAAAATATATGCAAGAAAACATATTTCTTTTTCTTTTTCCTTTTTTTTCTATCACTTTCTTGCCACTTTCACTTTCTATCATTATTTTCTTTTTCCTTTCTTTTTTTTTATACTTATTTTTTTTTCTTTTTTTGGGAAAGGGAAGGAGAGAAATGGGCTTAAACCCTTGACCTCAAGAAGACAAAGTCTTCATAAAATAAAGAGTACCATTGGACCAAAAAACTATTATTTTTGGAGAGGGGCCCATTATTTTTGGGGAGGTGTCCATTTTTTTTTTAATACAAACAGTGGATTAGCCCTGTAACTCCTATTGTTTAATGAGATTCACTGTCGATCCCATATTTTATAATAGATTAAATTAATAAATTAAGTCTAAATTAACATTACTCTTTTATTTAACCCTTCATTATAAAATTTTGGTTATGCCCTTGCTATCATGGGATTAAGGAATGTCATGTTATTAAACACTGGTTGTATTTTTTTTTATTATTTAATGGTCAAAAATTTTCGGATTAGTTTATGCATATCTTGATTAATTTTCTCTTCGGTCTGATCAAAAATAGACCATTCACGCTGAAATTAAAGTATTCATGTGAGATAAATCTATCATCACTTGATTTTTCAAAGCAGTTTTAAAATTCAAATTTAAAATATTTAAATTTACAATTATTTTTTTAACCCTCTGAGCTGGTCGTTGAGGTTATTCTTGTTAGTGACTGCCAAAGGCATAGGATTTTCCAATTAAATGTGCCGACAGCATGTGCAAAGACATCATCGGTGCACTCAAAGTTCAAAGACAATGTCAAGAACTTACATTGACCAAGGAAAGCATCAAACTGGCTTTAACATTGGGGTTGGGTTTGGCCCTGTCCTATCCAGTCCCGCCTCTTGTTTTCCAACTTTTATCCTTACGTTTATGCCCTTCTCTGTCCCTGCGGGCCCGCATTATTAGGGGGACATGTGAATTGCGTGTTTGATCTGAATCCGATCCGAACGTAAATTTAATTTTCCAATAAATTGATATGTTTAATCGGTTATTTAAATTCGAATTTAAATTTAATATTTTATATTTTAGGAAATTAAATTTAAATATATTTATATGCGATCGAATTAGGATCGGACCCATAATATTTATATATTTTTGTATATATATTAAAAAAATTAAATAATTAGTTAAAGAAATTTAGTTAATCCCTCCAACTATAATAAGACAACTCTTTGTCAATATCTATGAGAATTTTCAATTGCTTAGAGCAGCCGAAAGCAAGAAAGAAAGTTGAATGGAGTGCTCTTTTCGGTTCTCTCATAGGCTATTTAGCTTCTTTTTTCACAACACCACATGCATTGGCCTGTTTGAAACTGGGTTTTTTAGGTGGAAATTTGAAATTTGAATTTTTTTTACAAAAAAGTCAGAGTTAAAATAATTTCTCAAAATTATTTGGGTTGTTTTTTAAAAAATTAAAAAAAGTTGAAAAAGTCTGTTTAGAGTAACTTTCTAGCTTTTGTTAAATTTTTGTATGAAAATAAAAAAAATAAATACATATATGTATAGATTATACATAATTGTTTCCAAAATATGAATTTTAATTTTGTTTACGTCATTAGTAATATTTTATAAATTTAATAAATTAAAAAATTATATAAGACCTGCGACAAAACTCTAAAAAATCAGAGAAAAATTCCATAAAATTTGTTTATTGAATCAACATTAATAAACAATTTTTGGTCTAAGAAGTTGTTGAATAAACTATTCCAAAAGTTGAGATTTAAACAGATCTGACCTATTTTACACTATAAAATCAATTTATTCCGGCCAACTCCAAACAAGTCTAATTTGTTCTCATGTCTAAACAATTATTCATCTTTTTTTTTCCCGCTTTCTTTTGTATGAATAAGTATCAAACCCTTCCACGTGAAAATTACAAATTTTTACAACGTCCATGCATTTCGTGCACCTACAATTACATACCAATAATAGTCCATTCTTCGTCACCACATATCAACCCAATTGATGGATAACCTTGTGTATTCACCTATGGTATGGAGAAAAAAAATCAGTATTGTATTGACGAATATTATTTTTGTGCATATTTTTTTATATTTTTTTGGATGTTTTTATTACTATTGGGCAACTAGAAAACAACGTAGTGATAAAATGAGTGTAGCAGAAATGAGAAATGTTAAAGTGGATGTATGAAAAAAACTAGAAAAGATAGAATAAAAAATGACAGTATTAGAGAAATAGTAGGAGTAGCTCCAGTTAAAGATAAATTAAGAGAGATAGCTTAAGATAATTTAGTTATGTTCAAAGGAGGCTCATAGAGACACCGGTTCAAAAAAGTGAGAGAATTTCTTTTAATGATAGTAAAAGTAGGGGTATACCTAAATTAATATTGAACAAAATAATAAGAAAATATATAAAAATATTTAATTTAAATGAGCGTATAATGCATGATCGAAATAAATAACGAAGACAGACTCATATAACTAATCCCAAATAATTGAAACATAAGACTTGATTTGATTTGGTTTATTATGTTAACTATTTTTATCACTTTTGTAGTACTAGCAATCGATCATAATATTTTTAAGATTGATCGCAAGTACCACAAAAATGATAAATATATACAAAATAGTGGCAACAATATTATAAAAGTGGTACATTTTTTTGTTCTAAAATAACCCACAAAAATTGTAAAAACACCGATTAAAGTAGTAAAATTTTAAGGTATAATACTAAAGTTTTTTTTGGATATCGAAATCAAGTCCAAAGTTTTTACATGCCTAGAACATGAAACAAGGTAACTCAAAATTAAACTTTTTAAAGGTAGTTCAGTGGTCAAGTTTGTCCCTTTACAGACAAAAAATCTCTGGTTCGACATTTCTTACATCCTCTACAGATTAGTCAGTTATAATTATTTTTCAAGAAATATATTTTTAAATTAATTCAAGTTACATTGACCGACTTAAAATTTGAAGGAGTTGTCGAGATAAGTCTAAACACCTTGTAATAAAAAAAAATAAAAGTAATTGAATATTATAAAATATTTTCCTAAAGACAAATTTGGCTGCCCAAATTGAGAATCTAAAAATTCTCACAAATGACTACCAATATTTTCTATGTTTATTTATTTATTTTGGTCAGAGTCAGACCTTTGCAACTTATTTTCCATGTCTTGTCCGTTTAGGCGGCCCAAACTATAACAGTTTTAACCGCAAGAATCTTCGTGTCCAAACACTCCAATAAATAATGACAAAACCGTAAATAAAGGCAACAAGCAAGGGTATTTATAAATTTACATAAAATTCTTCAGCTCACATTCGTCTCCTTTCCTGTCACCTCCAAGCTGTCTGTCCGCTTTCATTTAAAAGTCTTTCCCACCTCCAATCCCACCTCCAATCCCTCCCTCAAATACACACAAGAGAGGAGAGAGAGAGAGAGAGGGGCGGTAGGTTTGTGTAAGAGACAATGCAGGTGAGTTTATAGAGGAGCTTCATCTTCATATGTGTATTTATAATTTCTTTGAACAGTATGTTTTGGATTTGTTGCGATTTTTCATTGTATTGTTTCAGACGAGAACAGTACATGTAGGTCATGTATCAGATCTAGCCAGTGAGAGAGAAATTCACGAGTTTTTCTCATTTTCCGGTGAAATCGAACACATTGAGATCCGCCGGTTAGTTGTTCTTTCATCTTTCTACTCTACGTATATGTGCGTGTGGTGAATTTGACGGTTTTGAGTGTATCAGGGCTTGATTTTGGCTGTTTGTTTATGTATGGGGTGCAGTGAGTCTGGGCAATCGAAGGCTGCATTTGTTACATTTAGAGATCCAAAAGCGCTTGAAATCGCATTGTTGTTATCGGTAATTCCTCGATTTTACTTTAGTTTTCTTGTTAATGTAGCCGTTTTTTATAATTGGTTTTTTTTTTTGGATGAAAGGAGAATATTCTTAAGGAAGAAAAGAGAGAAAATAGTTGCATTATAGAGGATAAATATCCTTTGGAAAGAGAGATTGTTTTATAATAAATGAATTTGCTATATATTCTGTGATGTTTTCTGAAAAATCCCAGCTGTTTCAAATTGGGAAAACAATCCCATTCAAACATATATTTGTCTGTGTGTGCTGTTTAATTGAAATGTGCTTGAATTTCATCGAAGTTTCAGCTATTGAAAAAAAGTGAGAGAATAGAAAAAAAAAAAAAAAAAAGAAAAAAAGAAGTTAAAAAAAAAAACCCTTTTGTTTTCAATAGTTTCTACTCATTTGTCTTCTTTTGTTTCCAAGAACCAAACAGGACATCAAGTCTGATTCTTTATATTGGTTAGCTGTTTTAGTGGAGGTAGTTGCACAGAAAGTTGGTGAGATATTGCTTAGTGGGCTTTGCTGTTTTTCTCTTTTTTTCTTTTTCTCATGACAATGGGGTTAAATAAGTAGTTTTGTATTCTTTCCACATCCATGGGCATTGTTGGAAAGCAAAATAACGCCAGATTTGAAAACAAAAAGAGTTCATGCCAAGAACCTTACTGAACTGTGAAAACAGTATTATATTGTTATATATACTTTTATTCATAATGCCATGTACTGGATTCAATTCTGGCGAACAGTGATTCAACATTAAAAAATTATCAGGTATAAAAAATTTATTGAAGTTCGAGGGTTACGAAAGCAGTTTTACTGTTTCCTCGTTCTTTATGTTCTATTCAAGTATTAAGGAGGTGTTGGTAGTGCTTTGTATTGAACCAATATAATTATATTGGTCATAGTTGGAGGTAAACGTAAACCAAAATACTGCCTGCTGTTGAAATGTACAAATCACAATATGGTGGTTGTATTGGCCCAAATGACGTCTGTTAAATTTTTGAGCTATGCTCAAATGCCTGTGGATTGAGCAGGATGTTGGTAATCGCACATAAGTAGATGGTGAACCTTCTGATTCTTGACATTGAAACTTGTATATTTTGTGCACATTTTGCAGGGAGCCACCATAGTGGACCAGATTGTTAGTATAACTCCTGCTGAAAACTATGTACCACAGCCTGAGATTCAGGTAATTCTCTCTATTACTGTTGCAATATTTTTTCAAGTATTGAAATGAAATTTATATTGTCGGATTAATTCATGCAGGAAGTAAGACTGGTGGACAATGCCTTGAGCATGGCTCAGGACAATGCTTCACATGATGCTGAGGTAACCAAATACACCGACAGATATCTCTTTTATTAGCTAACTAGTTATATTGTGCATTACATTCCAAGTACCAGTGAATGGCCCCTGGAGACTTTGTGGAAACAGGAAAACAGTGATGTGAGGCATGCAATTGGTTATATTCTACACATCGAGGAGAGATTTGTTGCAGAAGAACTCCTAACTTCAGTGGATGTAAAAATACCTGCATGATCTTTTTTATAACATTAAAGCTTATGTAGAGCAAATAGTTAACCTTTTCTTTGTTTAATCAAGACAAAGAAGAATATCATAATTCGAATGCCACACCATGTTGATATGACAACTGTGATTTTATGTTTGTAACATCAACTATGACACCTAGTTTATGGACTACTATATTGTGACCTTAAAACTTGCAATGTTTGTGGCCTAATCTATCTATGCTAACAGGTCAAAGCAACATCTCCAAGAAGTGGACGAGTGTATGTTAGTAAAGCACAAGATGTTGTTTCAAATATGCTGGCAAAAGGTTCAGCTATTGGACAAGATGCGATGAATAGGGCCAGAGCATTTGATGAGAAGCATCAGTTAAGAGCCAATGCATCTGCCAAAGTGAGTTCCCTCGACAAGAGAGTGGGGCTTACAGAGAAACTAACAGTTGGAATCACGGTGGTGAATGAGAAAGTGAAGTCCGTGGATCAAAGGCTTCAAGTTTCAGATAAAACAATGGCAGCTTTGATGGCGGCAGAGAGGAAATTGAATGACACTGGATCAGCTGTCAAATCAAGCAGGTTTGGAAAATCTTCCCTCATGTCCTCTGTTTTTCGAAGATTTTGTTCCATGTTACTTAGGATGTTGTTTATTACATCCCACTTTCTGAGTCGACTGGTAATTAGTGTGAATGCTGCAAAAGAACTTGATAAAAAATTGACCATGTGAGACAGTTTGTAATAGTAGGACAGCTCGAAGCCATCATTCATGTTTTTGCTATTCTTTTCATAGCTCCTATATTGCTGAGAGTGTCATGAAACAACGGAAGCTTTGGGCAACAATTCTCCAATTACGAACCAAATAGTGTGCCTACTTAGAATGCTTGGGCTGATTTGACTGCTGTTAAGTTACCATATATTGTGTAATGTAGTTTCAGATAGGATTTACATGTGTTTGTAATACAATATCGGACAAGAGTTGGTGCCTGGGAGCTTGTTTTGGGTGCTGAAGCTCCTTTAAATTCCTTGTAGACTGAGGCCTACTTTACATGGGGTTGTCATGAAACTTTCGATTATAGATTTGGTCTTGGAGGAGGGTTGAGTTTGCATGTTAGGTGCTTCTGCAGAAAGCCTTAGCCAATCTATTCCTCCCGTGCTTCCCCTTGAGAGAAACTATGTTGGGTGGGTGATTAGAGGAGAAATCAGATCTCTTTGGGGCCCAAGAGTTGAAAAAACTGAAATTTAGATGTACTGCAGTTCAGTAACTAAATTCAAAGGTTTTTTAACACGGAGGTGATGCATCTGGTTTCATATGACCAAATAGACTTAACTTTATAGCTCTTTTGTTTGGCTAATAAAGAATGTTATGTAGATGGCATTGCTTAAACCCATGTAATTGAGTATGTTTGGAACATGTCAGGTATGTGACTGCTGGAACAGCTTGGCTGAATGGTGCGTTCGGTAAAGTGGCAAAGGCTGGGCAAGTCGCTGGTTCAAAAACTAGAGAGAAATGGAACTTGGCTGTCTCAAATTTGACTGCAAAGGTGGGTGGTTTTTGTTTGTCCCTTTGTGATTTACTTCAATATCTTTCTCTCTTTTTTGGCGTAGCCCAAGGCATTGTATGCTATAGATTGAACTTTGTTAAATATTCAACGTTTGTTGTAGTTGATTCCCTTTTTTTGAAAGGAAAAAATAAAACAAAAGAGAAACTATCTTTACTGAGACCATCTTCTGTTTAAACAAGAAAATAGAAGAACCAAGAAAAAGGAATTAAAAAACAGATGCTCATAGCCCCATTTTACCACAATCACTTTCGTTCCCTCGTGAGGTTTTTGTATAAACTTTTGTTATCACCTTTGCGGCCAAGGCTACAATGCCACCCACTGCTATTACCATCCAAAGAGCATCATTGCAAATACATCCAAAGAGCATTATCATATCTTCAAGCCATTATTAAGTCCAAATCTCTGTGAACCCCAAATTTCAGGCTTGATTCCTATTCTATCATTGTAATGCTACTGCTTTGTTGAATGCAGGATCCTCCTATTGCCGCCTAATCCAGAAATTTAAAGATACCAGATATTGCCAAAGTTTTCAAATGTAATGAAGAGATCGAGTACGTCTATCAACTTCAAAATGATCCGTGAGATCTCAAGATTGGAGTTGCAGACACTTGGTGGGATCGAAGGGTTTGTGCAATTTTCCATATTAATACCCTTTTAAGTGTTTTTGCAGTCAATTATGTAATTCAATTCATTAATTACTTATTCATCATGTTTTCGTACGTTGTGCTGCGTGTGAGTTCTGCAATGTTCAGTGTGCAACTACAAAAATTTGCATGTGTAATGGGGATGGTATCAAACTATCAATCAGTGTGTACGAAATGTATGCTTACTGTGGCTGATGAACTTCCTCTGGTCCTTCACCAATCCTCTTACCCCCCCCCCCCCCCTTTTTTTTTACAAGTGTCTAAGTTAATTTCTTCGCACTTTTACTAATCTCCTTTCCGGTCTAATTGAAGATAGATCATTCACATCAAAATTGAGGTATTCATAAATATTTATGAGAGATTAAAAAATTGTCAAAATTTAAACTCAAGATATTTGAAATACGTGTTAGAGCTCACAATTCTTATTCAATTTGTCAATTTGTAATTCGGTACCAAATCGATGGAAATTATATCATCTTAATAAATAAGTCAAGTTCATATGCATAAAAATATTAAACCATTCTACCATTGTATATAGTAGAGGTGGCAAATAGGTGGGATGGGTTGGTTATGGGTTGTTTTAAATTGGATTGGGCTAAAATAAATTCAATTCATTTTTTACTCATGTAATAAAGGGTTATAATGGGTTGAGTTTATAACAAGTTGAGTTAAATCGATTAACTCATAAAATAATTAAAATTTTTAATGAACATATTAGTACATCAAAACATACACACACATTAGTAATACACCAAAATACAAACATACACACACACACTAATACACCAAAACACACACAAACTAATACACTAAAAATATACAGTAACACACCAAAAATACACACACATATATTAACACAATAACTAAAATACATTTAGTAAAAAAAATACAAAAATAATGGGTCGGGGTGATTGCAGGCTATGGGTTATGAGTCAACCCATAGGGGTCGCGGTCCGGCCCATGGGGTTGTGGGTCGTGGGTTGACCCGTTGGTCATGGGTGGCGTATTAGTGTGTGTTTTTTTGTGTACTAATGTGTGTATATTTTGGTGTATTAATATATATTTATGTATTTTTTGGTGTAATAGTGTGTATATTTTTTGGTATATTAGTATATTTATTTAATTTTATTATTTGTGTTATTTAATATAAAGATAAATACTCAATTCAATGGGTACTCATTTATAATTAATAAAAAGATAAATACTCAACTCAATGGGTACTCATTTATAATTTATATTAATCCGTTTAATTAAAATGAATGATATTACCCAATCTATTTAGAACTCATATTAATTAATATATGTACCAAACCCATTAATTTATGGGCAAATTAGACGGATTAATAGATAATGAGTTAAAATTATCACCTCTAATATATAGTCAAGTTTTATGTTCAATCTATTAAAAAAAAAGTCGATATGGACTTAACTATGTATATAAAAATATTATTATGCACAAACCTCTGACTTAGTTATATAAATGTGAAGGCATTTTGGTTTAACACCAAGTTGTCAACACCCCCACGAAGCATTCTTGTCTCTTGGCTTTGAATTCATCACCTGTTCATTGGCATGAAAGAGAGCCGGAGGGGGAAACAAGAAGCCAAACGTTCCTTAGCTTCTCTTTGGCGATTGCTTTGATGATGTCCAATGGCATTTGTCATTTATGATAATAGGTGACAGTTGTAATGAATAAAGTTGGAGGTTTGCGATTACTCTAATAGTCGCGGCTTTTTTTGTTGTCGTTAAGATGCGAATTTAAACTTTATCGTTTCTTTTTCTGTAATAGTATTTGACAAAAAACAAATATTGGATACAACTTAAAATTGTCTATCTAATTAACGAAGTGAAAAAATAGAAGAAATTAATCTGTAGGGGTGACCCAGTAGTTGAGTTTGATCTTTGATGACCCAAAAGTCTCGGGTTCAATTCTTTTTCGTATCTTTTAAAAGCTAACCGTCATTTTTCTCTTTGGCTCTTTAGGGGTATGTTTTAACTCATCCTCTAATAGCAAAAAAAAATTAGAAGACATTCAACAGGTTTAACACATTTGAAAAATTTCATCGGATTGATATTAATTTCTTTTAGTTATAATTAGACCTCCAAACTTTTGCATGGTAAATTACAAAAAATTATAGTATTGTATTTTTTTTTTTTGCTGATTAAAAAAAAGGGCGGGGGTAAGGAAGAGCGTCCAACAACCACCCTGATCGAGTCTCACCGGTGAGATCATAAGTCCTGTAACTGCAACTGGAGCACCTCCTCGGATCAGATTTAGTTAGACTAGGATTGCAGTTAACCACCAAGTCTCAATGGAGACTCCAAGACTCAAACTCTCAACTCTAAAATAAAAAATAAAATTAATACCTCACTAGACCACTCTACTTAATGGTTATAGTATTGCATTTTCTTCGGTACCGGTAAAGCAAGTCTCGAAGGATTAAAGAGCCACCCTTAGGTGGTTCTGCGTCAAGAGTTCGTTAAGAAAAATTGAGAAAATTGGATCGCCACGTAACACATGAGCATAAGAGTAATTTGATGTAGAAGCATTGAAGTTTGACATTTCACCTCACCAAGACTCGACAATACTCAGAAATCTTTAAATTAATGCCCTTGCCACGTGGATACATATTTTAATATCCACGTGTCACTCTAACACTGGTCAGAAAACGTGGCCTAAGACAACTCCAACACCTACCCCCTGTTTTTGGTTAATTCTGACCGACTTCCCAGGTGAGTCAAATTTTCAATTACCAAAGGCTATTTTCGTCAAATTACAATTCACATTCCAAATTTACCCTCGTTGTAATATTTTTGAACAGAACTGCCCTCCAAGTCCAATGAGTTGCCTCTGAAACTCTCTCTCTCTCTCTCTCTCTCTCTCTCCCGTTGGATATGGGTATATTCCCCGGCACGATTCTCTGTCTAGAACAGTAACAACCATTTGCCACCACGTAACGTATATTAAAGAGAGAGACCTATAGAGGCACTTATACACAGCCGTTTATTATTTTTCTTCTGCATCTAGCTTTTCATAGATTCCTAAGTTCTTTTTCCACATTATTCTGAGGTAATGTTTCTATTGATTCCCATTGTTTTGTGGGTTTTCTTTATTTTTTTTTACTATTTCATCTGTTATGTTGATCTTTTCATGGTTCTATTTAGTTTCTGGGTACTTGTTGATTCTGATTTCTTGGGTATTTTTAATTTTTGGGTGCAAGTTTCCTGATTTTTTTATTGTTGGTATTGAGTTTTCAGTTTGTTGACGAGTTTGTTAAACCAACTTTTTAGGTGGTTAGTAGGGTCAGTTGCTAATTTTATATATTTTTTTTGGTCAGCTAATTTTATATGTTGGTATGGTCCTTTTTGATGTGTTTTGAACAGATGTTGTGTGTTTTAATCCGGGTATGAAGATTTAATGCTCACAACTTTCCTCTCTTGCAACACATATGGTTAAAGATTTTGTCTTTTGAAAGATTTGGGTGAAAATGGGAAAATGTTTTCTCTAGCAGTTTTTTGATGCATTCTAAAGCATATTTTGGTTTTCATTTTGCCATCTCTTTGATGTTTAGTTTGAGTGATTTGATTTCTGATGGGTCAAAAAGTATTACTGGATGACGAAATTCAGGGCAACTAAAGAATGCATCTGTTAGCTGATTTGCTCTATTTTTCAAGTGCGGTTAGACCATATTTCTTTTTGGTAGAGATTTTGATTTAAGTTAGATTAATCCTTATTGATTAATGTGTCCGCTAGGTTTTCTTTTGCAGTTTTGTTAGCTTTATTTTCCTTTTTTGATAAAACTGAAATTCAGTTAAGGTTTACATAATGGCTTCATTCCTAGAAAATTTATTCCAATTTGTCCTATTTTGATGGAAGGAAAAGCAATTTTTTTGCAATAAATATACCTGGATCTAGTTCTATACTTGGAAATTGGAATGCCGCATACTCATTGCTATATGAATCACAACGGCATATCTCACCCACTCTGGATGTAATTTTATCCTCATAATGATGCGCACCCATTGTCATATAGTCAGAATCTCTCTGCATATAAAATTATATACTTAGGTATGTATGTTGTCACAAAGGGTTTTGAGTTTGCAGCTTGTGTTGATTGGGCTGTCTTTCCAGCTTTATGCTTCGTCATGGTCTTGTTAAAAAACGTCCTGCCTGTTTATCTTGCCCTGTTATCACATTTTTCTTATTTAGTTTCTGCTAATAAGTATTCTCACTGACTGAAGACGTGAAAATGCAGCGGTGTTGCTTTTCCCTGTAATCTGATGGCATGTCATAGCCCATGATCTGGGATAGGGGTTTGTGAATGGCTACTTCAGCTGGTTTGCATTTATTATAAAGGTTTTGATGATGATGGCGGCTTATAGTTAGCAGTGGTGAAAACTTTGCTAAATGGTAATCCAATGATCTTCTGATGCCTTGATTGGTGTATCTACTAACATGGAGTAGATCGAATTGACCTTTCCAGGGTCAGAGTTGTTGTACTGGTGTTTAATCTTGACTAAATTATTGCCCGGAGCCCAAAGAATCTGGCCTTTGACATAACCTTGTGGTAACATACCTGTTCTTATCTCAAGTTTTAGGAGTGATTAGCGGGAGTACTTGTGTTACCAATACTGAGTACCTGGCATTAACCAATTATACTGGAATGGAGACATTAGTTTTACCTCATGGCCAAAAACAGAATGTGCAAAATTCTGCTAGCAAGTCCTTGAAAGATCTGTGGCTTGTTGTACGCGAAGGGTCTGTGGCTGATGTTGATTCGGCTTTGGCATTATTGAAGAAGAATGGGGGAAATATCAATTCAAGGAACGCATTTGGCCTCACGCCTCTACACGTTGCAACATGGAGAAATCATGTACCTATAGTCAGAAGGCTTCTTGCTGCTGGTGCAGATCCTAATGCTAGGGTGTGTCAGTCTTTTTATCCTTTAGATCCCCTTAATGTTTTCGTTTTTTATACATGGATGCATTTTGAGTTGTTACTTCAATAATGTTTATTGTCAAATCATGGTGTAGGACCTGTATCTTAATTACATATGTCACGTTTAAATCTATATTTTCAGTTTTTTCCAGCATGCTTTTCAAGTAACTGGAAGTAGTTGATGGTTGGGAGTCTGTTCTGCAACAGCATTTAGATGTAGGAACTTTCTATAGAGGTTATATACTATAGCCAATTATGTAAGTTTTATTCTGTCCTCCTGTTGTAAAAATTTCCTAAATTAAGTTATATTAGTGACAATAAATTGACTTCTTGTAGCCTTAGATATTCTGTTAGTTGATCTTTTGAGTAGTCAATTTGCATCTTTTGTGAATTGGCGTGCACATTATTTTATTTAGAGTAGGGTTTTTCCTGAAAGAATTTTTGTAGCCGTATCAAATATAACAATCTTCTTTTTGTTGTTGTTAGTATCATTAGTAGGACGCCAACTTACAGAGCGTTAAAATATGCACCCCTTGTCAGTGGGCTAATATTGTATTTTCACTTCCATTTTTACTTGCCTTTGTTGTTTTCTGGGAAAAGACAGAGATGTCATTCTTGTTAGACCTAACATAATTATGGATTGTTATGCTATTCTCTAAGGATGGATGCAGGAAAGATAGAGGAGACAGGTAGAAGTTTAAGAAAGATAACACGGAACCTGAAAAAAAACACTAATTTGGGGCAAAACACAACTCGCATTGCAGATTTCGGGGTTGAGTATGGACTCTTTAGTGATACAGTAATTGCTCTATGAAGGTTTTATGATACCGAAACCAAACCTGCTTATGGACTGGCCAGTCATTTTCTATTTCAGGACGGGGAGTCAGGATGGAGTAGCCTTCACAGGGCTCTGCATTTTGGTCATCTCGCGGTAGCAAGCATCATTCTCCAGTCTGGGGCTTCTATCACTTTGGAGGACTCTAAATCTCGAACCCCTGTTGATCTATTCTCTGGGCCTGTGATACGGGCTGTTGGGAACGGAGATAATTCAGGTAGTTGATGTTTTTGCTTATGACTTGGATTGCATCATATGGTTGTTTCAAAGCCAATCCAACTATACTTACGTATCCATTTTGTTGCTTGTTTAGTGGCTACCGAGGTGTTTAGCTGGGGTAGTGGTGTCAACTATCAGTTAGGAACTGGAAATGCACACATACAAAAGTTACCATGCAAACTTGATTCATTTCATGGTTCACTTATCAAATCACTTTCTGCTGCGAAGTTCCACAGTGTAGCAGTCACTGGCCGAGGAGAAGTTTACACATGGGGATTTGGAAGGGGCGGTCGCCTTGGGCACCCTGATTTTGATATTCACAGGTAACAAAATGTCCTATCTATCTAGCCACACCTATGAAAATTTGTTGGCTAATTCAAATTTCACATTCCATAATTTTTGGTATCAATTATTGAAACATTTTAAATTTGACATTCGTTTTTGGGTCTGTACTTCAAGAGTCGATAAGAAATCTTGAGTTTGTTATAATTCTGGTTCACCATGATGATACAAATGACATGAATCCTTGCACATAAACTCCCCCGCAAATGTTGGACATTGATATAGGTTTGTGTGCATTTGTTCTTTATTATGTTTTACTGTTTGTTGGGTACTTCTACATGTTCCAGATACAACTCCCATTCATATAGATGGAGAGGTGTATACCAATGTTTAACAGAGTAGGAGGCTTGGTTATGTACATCATCATCATCATCATCTAACATTTTCTCCTTTTAGCTACATGTGGTTGGTAGTTCTATTGAAGAACTTGGAAATCATAAATCCAATGCTTTTTACATCAGTAGTTTTATTGAAGAACTTGGAAATCACAAATCCAATGCTTTTTACATTGGCACTTTTATTGAAGGACTTGGAAATCACAAATCCAATGTCTTTAAATCATATTTGCAGCCATGGTTGTGAAAATCCTTCGGATCTCGGGTTGACTCTTCGATTTGATTTGATTGAACTGAAATTGAGGATCTTTTCGATGCAAAGTGGTATGTCGATTAACGTATTGGAGTGACTCTAATCAAATCCTTTGTGATTCATAAACAAATCTGATGATTCACCCGCCTAATAAATGATCGAGATGATTCAGTAACTTACCCATTTTCTCCTTTGAGATAAAACTTTCTAGAGCACCTTTAAGGGCTTTAGGGTTAACTAGTGTTTGCTTGTACTTGCTTTTTCATTTTGTAATGATGTTGAAGATCTATAAAAACTTTGTGCAATTTCCAAATTTTTTATCCTTCTCTCTTAACATACACGGTCATTACTTCCTCCTCCTTGTACCCAACATAGTTAGAAAGAGCTTTCTGGGCAAGAAAATAGAGGAAAAGAATTATCTACTCAGATAAGAGTAAAATAATTATAAGGGTGATTAGATCAATTAGATTGAAAAATACCAAAATATTCATACAAATGATAATGGGCGGATGCTTATACCACTCAATGAAAAATAAAAATTTGGAAAACTCAAAAACCTTTGGCAGAGATTGTGAATCTGTTAAAATTTAATACTCAACATTGGTGTGAAGTTATGCTTTGACAACACTTCGTATATTATAGTAATGAAATTTGTAAATTGGTATGGGAAAGGCATAGATTCCCTTTTTCTCATGAGATTGTTACTTTCTTTTTCTAAATGTAAATGTTTGCATAAGTATGACCAAGTCATACCATATCTTGAATAATTATTTTAATCATTGTGTTGTTATGTAGCCTAATTTATTTCGAGTATACTTTTGTTGTATTTTGTTAAGTTCAAATGTATATATCATTTATTTTCAGTTTTCTAACTTGCAAACAAATCTTATGATTCTTGATTCAATTCGATTCTCAATACGGAGACACAGATTTCGATATACAATATGAATCTCGATTTGCCAACTATGTTTGCAGCGGCCAAGCTGCAGTTATCACTCCCCGGCAGGTGACTTTTGGTTTAGGGGCCCGCAGGGTGAAGGCTATTGCAGCGGCTAAACATCACACTGTCATTGCAACAGAGGGCGGGGAGGTGTTTACTTGGGGTTCAAATAGAGGTAATAGTCTTGAGATTTGATTAAAGTTGCAAGTTGAATCCCACAATCACATGATCTTTCTTTTAACTGTCATGTCCACCTCTACATAACACTAGCTTTAAAGGTACTTGCCCTTTTATTATCTCGGCCAAAAAGTTGAAATTGAATCACTGTACTTGATTTTCCTTTTACTTTGTTCTGCATTTTAGTTCAATATGAAGCTGAAACAAGGGAGTGATAAAAGCTTTCTTTTAGCAGTCTAGTTTATCCTGATGACTTTTGCATTATTGGCCTTTTATTTTTATTTTGTGCAGAGGGTCAGCTTGGCTATACTTCCGTGGATACCCAGCCCACACCAAGGAGAGTTAGTTCCCTAAAGTCAAAAATTGTTGCTGTTGCTGCAGCAAACAAACACACTGCTGTAGTTTCTGATTCGGGTGAGGTTTTCACATGGGGATGCAATAAAGAAGGTCAGCTTGGATATGGCACCTCTAACTCAGCTTCAAATTACACTCCAAGAGTGGTTGAATACTTGAAGGGCAAGATTTTCACTGGAGTTGCAGCAGCAAAATATCACACAATTGTTTTAGGAGCTGATGGAGAGGTATGCTTGAACAGATATGCCACTTTTACCGCTATAACTACCATTAGTACTGCTGACTTGTTGCACTTGTTTCCTATGATTTGCAGGTATTTACTTGGGGTCACCGGCTTGTTACTCCAAGACGTGTAGTTATAACTAGAAATATTAGAAAATTTGGGAGTTCTCCATTGAAGTTTCATCGTAAGGAACGCCTACATGTGGTTGCTATAGCTGCAGGGATGGTACACAGCATGGTTCTTACAGACGATGGTGCCTTGTTTTATTGGGTGTCCTCTGATCCTGATCTTCGATGTCAACAGGTTTTGTTTGACTGAATTAAGCTTGTGTTCGGGTTTATTGTACTCTCACTGGTCCTGATTGATACATTTTTATTTTTTCGTAAATTTTAGCTATATTCGCTGTGTGGTAGAACTATGGCCAGCATTTCTGCGGGGAAGTACTGGACTGCAGCAGTTACAGCTACAGGTGATGTCTATATGTGGGATGGGAAGAAAGGAAAGAATGAGCCCCCAATTGCAACTCGGCTACATGGTGTAAAGCGGGCTACTTCAGTTTCAGTTGGAGAAACACATCTTTTGATTATTAGTTCTCTCTATCATTCTTTCTATCCTGCATACATTTTGGATAACACTCAAAAGCTAAAGGTAAACATTAGGAAGGAATTAGAGGAGGTAGATGAAGATTTTGTGTTTAACGGCATGGAGTCTGATGAAATATTATCCACTATGCGGGAGGATGACCTAGATTTGAGGCCCATACCAAGCTTAAAAAGCCTTTGTGAGAAAGTGGCTGCAGAGTATTTAGCGGAGCCACGAAGTGCTGTACAACTGCTTGAAATTGCAGATTCACTAGGGGCAGATGACCTGAGGAAGCACTGCGAGGTAGTTTACCAGATGGCCTATTTTATTTTCCTTAAATATCTATATGTCCTTTGAATAGGTTTCAGGGTACCATCTATCTATCTATATAATAAAACAGAACATTCTGGTTGTATAAAATACAACAACGGTTCAGACTGTTTACATCCGACAACCCATCATATAACTTACATTTTAAATTTTTAACTACATTAAATTTGCTTATTTAAACATTTTAAATACTGTAAACATTTTAACTATATTTAATTTTTAACTACACTATACATTTTAATCACGGTAGATAAAGCTTGCTTTGCACAAAATACCCTAGTTGCTTATACTCAATGCTACATGTCCAAATCAAGAGTTTTACAAGACTCATTGAGTAAAGGGGTCTAAAAAAATCCAGAGTGTATGTATCTTTTTTCGTTGTAAATGGTTGCCTGGTTTTTATCTTGTAGAATTAAGCAATTTTGAATTTTGTTCGTGAATTATGAGTAGGTCTCAATCAACTAGCAGTTGCTGAGCTGATTTAGGCGTGTGCATAGGGATTTGGCATTCCTTTTGATGAAGGATACTAATGGCTGTTCAATGTGATTTATTGCAACCAAGTTGCTGGTTGCCACTTTGAACAGATGATATTTGCTGGTCCCCAACTAACTTGATGTGTGTTCCTCAGTGCTTGTATACCATAATGCCTTGAATCACGTTTCAATAGTTCCTGACTAGAGACTATAACGAAGCTGTCTGGGTTATCCGGCTTCTCAAACCAAAGGTGCCTGAAAGATGCAGCATACTCATTAATGTACGCTGGGGCCACGAAAGTGGTGGCCCGAGGCCAAAACTGGCCTAATTTCAAGGTGATCCATTTATGGATATAAGCCATTTCCTACCCAATCCAGCTGGTTTTTATTATGTCAACCTGGCAGTTCTAAAGAACTGCACCTTGTGTTGCTATTCAAAAAGGAAGTCCTATGTGTAACTCATAAGACACTGACCTGAGAGGAGAAGTTAATGGTCAATGACGGCTCAAGGCAGCCCCAGTTACCATGTTAATAGCGCGTGGCCTGATTCTATCTCCATTATAATTAATTGTACAAGCACAACTACTATAACACAAAAAGGTATCATATGCATGCATGCATAGGTATGCATTAAGATACACATTGGCTTACTCTTTATTTTATTTTGTATGTTTTTTTGTGTTTTCTTGTTGGGGACAACCGGACAAGTAATATGCATGTAATAACTGATATAATTATTAGCGAATATGTGTGCATATACACATTTCTTATAATTAGACACACGGTGGAACCTCTGACTATTTGAGTATGTGTGACATGTATTTAGTGCAAAAAGTACCTTATGTGAAGTGCACGCGGTACATATGTTGACTTAAGTTCCCGAGTAATAAAATGTGAGAGTCATAAGATAAGGTATTCTTGTATGATTTGTTTGACCTTTTGACTAAACAGTTAATTCAGGGAGATGATTCCCTGTTCACTGAACTGTTTTGGGTTGAGAATGATATGGTGGACCAAAGCCCTGGTTTCTACAACTTTAGTTTACCGATTTTTGTGAACTTGTATTGCCCATGAATGTATAGTTTGTGGAGTGCAGAGTTTATATTTAGTAAAATGCAGTCTTATAAAGTTACAAAACATAATGCTTTAATGCACAAAATTTTGCTATATGTCAATTAGAGGCCACTAGGATGATTATTCTTCTACTTATTTCCTAGAAACTGCCTTATGAACAAGCTTGCTTGCCTCTATTATTCTCTGGAGTTTTTGGCAGAAAATTGTCTGTAATACATCATCCCTTTTTTCGCTATAGTCCACTTCTGGCACATTTTCCTGTGGTGAATGAAAAATGATTGTGTTGGATATATTTTGGTAAAAAAACACTTATGCGATAGACTTCCAATCAAATATAATTCCACGGGTAGTGTTCAATATTAATTCTATGATGTTATAGTTTTTGGCGTCATCCTTTGAAGCTAATGGCTTGCAGTTAGATCTTACTTACTGAAGTTGTCCCAAAAACTTACTGCAGGAGATTGCAATTCGTAACCTTGATTATATCCTCAGTGTCTCACCCCATGCTATTGCTAGTGCTTCATTGGATATTTTAGCCAATCTTGAGAAATTGCTGGATTTGAAATCATCTGAACCATGGAGTTATCGACGGCTCCCAACCCCAACGGCTACTTTTCCTGCGATTATTAACAGTGAAGAAGAGGATAGCGAGACTGAATTTCTTAGGACTCGTGACAATCATTCAAAGAAACCAACCTCAAAGAAAGCAAGTGACCACAGATTGGATAGCTTTTTACAGCCGTATGATGATGCAACTGAAGGCATTGGCAAACAAGTTCGAGCTTTGAGGAAAAAGTTACAGCAGATTGAGATGCTTGAAGAGAGGCAATCTAAGGGGAATCATCTTGATGACCAGCAGATTGCTAAGCTTAAGACCAGGTCAGCATTGGAGAGCTCTCTTGTTGAGCTTGGTGTCCCACTTGAGACGGTGCAGGCAAAGGCATCTTCTTCAGATTCTCCTGATGGGAAAGGGAGTAAAAAGGTGGAGGTATCAAGAAAACAGAAGAGAAAGAGCAAACAAAAGGCAACACAAGTACAAGTGGTGCCCAGTAATTGTGGGATCAGTCCTGAACCAAACACTGTGAAAGGTTTCTTGGATGTTGAAATCTCTCAAGTCAAGGATAAGGTGAGTGTCCAAAAGTTCCACTGTTATCAAATATTTGAAGAGGAAAAAATATTGAAGGGGCATTGAATTTATTACAGTAGATGTGGTAGCACCCCAATGAAGTAGAGCGACAAGTTATTTTTGTGTACAGGAGTTTCATATGCTGAGTTGTATTCTTGGTGGCTTTGCTTGGTTGAGTTTTTAATATACTGTGTAACAATTTTGTTACCCAATTAGTGCTTAATTTGAAAGACGGTAGCCTTTATATACTATCCAGAGGAAAACAAAAGAAGGCATAGGTAAGGATTTAAATGGTAATTGGACAGAGAGACAAATAGCTTGACTCTACTTTTTTTTTTTTTTTGGTATGTGGATGGTAGGGTAAATGTATTTGGACAAGAATTTTAAATGAAATTTTCAATTTTTCCAAGTTTTAAACCATGCAGGAGACTTTGACTATGAACTTTGTCTGTTGTTACGTAAACAATAACCTGACATATATATTGATGCTAGAAACCGTCAGAGCCAGTTTTATTATACTTTAATGAGCTACTTATAGATGGTACTTGCTTTTTCAAGTAGATCATAAGAAATGTAATCTCTGCGTGGTGGCACTCCCATTTTTAGTTCCTTTATTTAAAAATTTGTTATAAACAACTACTATTTTCATTTTGGCTTAGCTTTATAAGTTGCTTGATAATGGGGAATGGTTTTTCATCCTCATATCTTGAAGTCACTGTTCTTCTGTTGGTATGCTTCAAATCAGTAAGTATGCGAAGATTGATAAATGATATTTCTATCATTAATAAATGATATTTGAATAATCTATTCCTTTTTGCCGTTTGATAGGTGCATAATGCTGGGTTCTTGGGGCCCGTTGCTAATCAAGTCAGAAAATTGTCTCCTTCCTGCATTAAGAAAGACCTTACGGACATTCCAACAAATAAAAGTTCTTCACTGACAGCATTGAAGAAAAAGAATAAAAAAGGTGGCCTCTCCATGTTCTTGAGTGGTGCTCTCGATGGTATTACGGAAGATGCTGCTCCAACACCACCAATGCCCAAAAGTGAGGGCCCTGCTTGGGGTGGTGCTAGAATTTCTAAGGGATCTTCCTCTCTTCGTGAGATACTGGATGAGCAGAGCAAATCCCAGGAGACCAAGCCAACTAGAAGCAAAGATCAGGTGGAAGATGTTTCTAATGGGAAAGCTGGTGGGAAACTTCGATTGAGTTCGTTTTTGCCTTCCAATTCAATACCTGTGCAATCGAGTCAGACGTCACAGGTGCCTGATGGAGAAAGTAGCACCCCTCCTTGGGCTGCTTCTGGGACTCCACCTCTCCTTTCTCGACCATCTTTCAGGGATATCCAATCACTACAGGTGTGTGAATTCACCCGTGTATGCCTCTACATGTGTGTGTTTGTGCGGTGTCATGTGCATAGTTTGGACCCGTTGCATATGAATAAATTTTGAATATGAGGTTGTAGAAGAGTAAAGAAGTGATAGACTTTTTGGTTGGACTTAATACTGTTAATGGCAAACACCATGACAACTGCTTGGGTAAACATCCCAGATAATTCAAATGAAGTTGCTGTTCAATATTTTTATTATTCCACAGTGCATATATTAGTTGCTTCTGCATGATTGCAATACTGAAATGATGTTTTGTGTGCGAAAACTTTGCTCGACGTCCTTTCCAATTTCCACCCTTCCAGTGCAACTTAATATCTGTCTAGTGATCTTATGAGGAGTTCCATTGTCGGATAGGAGATTATTGATAATGGTATTTCTTGTCTCAATTTTTGAAAATTCTCTTGGTGTAAAGACAATTAGAATGAAAAAATGTCAATTCACATATACTGCATTCTTTGGGATGTTTGCTGTTCAATACTATTAATATTCCACATTGCATATATCAGTTGCTTCTGCATGAAAGAGTGCAATACTGAAATGATGTTTTGAATCCGAAAACTTCCTCATCCCCAGCCACCTTTTTTCAACGTTGCTCAACTTCCTTTCAATTTCCACCCTTCCTACATGGGCTAATTTTTTGGGTATAGGGCATGCATTAATTTTCCAGTGCAAATAGTATCTGTAAGTGATCTTATGAGCAGTCCCATTGGTCGGATGGTAGATTATTGATAATGGTATTACTTACTAGTCCCAAAATTTTTGATAATTCTCTTAGTGTAAAAACAATTAGAATGAAAAAATGTCCACACACACACACACACAAAGATATATATTTCCTGGAAATTTTAAAGATTATCGTTGTATTTTACTATTTTTTATTGAGATAAAGCGAGATATAGCTTCACTGGGGGTCTTCATTCAAAACACAGTTGGAATATTTATGTACCCCTAAACAATGTCCCCATAAAAATGAATATAAAAGATGAAATGGGAAAATTGACCATTTAAATCCAGCATTCGAAACCATTTGAAACTTCCACTTCCATAGATCCCTGTCTACTTGGATAGCGATTAACATGCTGGGTTTCTAATCAGTAATAGAGAAGGAGATCAGAAGCTCATTTGATGTGGTGAACAGCCTGATATCCTTGTGAATGTCTTAGATTTACTGTTGTACATCTGTCTAAACCGAAAGTTGGTATCTGAATTGTCACTCTTTTTTATTGTCATGGAGTGGATTTTAGAACTCTAAAATTCATACTAGGGTGAACTCTTTTTCAACTCTTTTTCCGTTTCATTGCAGCAGGGGAAACAACACCAGAGTCTCTCCCACAGTCCAAAGACACGAACCACTGGATTTTCTGTTACTACTGGTCAAGGCTCACCATCAGACTCTACCGGTCCGAGTCGTTGGTTCAAACCTGAGGTTGATACCCCCTCCTCTATCCGTTCAATTCAGATGGAGGAAAGGGCTATAAAGGATCTCAAACGTTTTTACAGCAGTGTTAAGGTTGTGAAGAACCAGTCTTGAGGAGGACCATGTATGTGTTGGGCATGGTTTTTCAACCCAAAAGATGCACATAGTAGGTGGAGTGACCCGCTCCCTTATATGGCCTAGGATCCCCTCATCACTGATGTGAGATTTGCTCGACACCTCAACAGTATGTTCATCTGGTAGGTAGCTTTTGTTTTCGTTTACCCTTCTGAATTCTTTCATTTTAGTTCAAAGGCAATGCTGTAAATTGACTGTATAGATGATTTAACTGTACATTCGGTTCTTCTGTATTTTTTAGTCTATTTTCAGTATAAGTTTCAGCCATTCGCCTTACGTTGGCCGATTATTTACCCCTCGCAATGAAATTTGCTGGTTCTTTATTCCCATCTTCCAAAACTTGTTTTGAACATGAGAATTTTCTACGAAATTAATTAATGTTGGTCAAAGTTAGAAAGCTCAATATAGTTTAAACTAGTGTCACAATCTGAACGAAGTGACAAATGCTATAGTGTTTACTGCAGTGTCTGAACTGTTCATTGGTCCCTTGATGAGGGGCTTGAGGAATCCTCAGGTGGCCTTTTCAGGATTCCCAGGACTTGGTGCAGGCCCTTAAAATTATCTTGTCTCTCAAGGAAAACTGGAATCAGGGTGAAAAATGTTTAAACTGGAAAATAGTACTTTTGTTTTTTTTTGGGTACAGAGAATCGTCTCAATGATTTGTCATTTGGACTCATGGTTGTAATGAAAATGTCGGGTGCATGCACATAACCACTTACATTCCACGTGCAAAGATAAAACTCGGGTTTTAGGCCATTAATGAGACTTAGATTGAGGACTTGTAGGTTTACACCTTTCTTTATTCAGCCAATAAACTTGATGATGCACAAATTGAGTTTGTATACCACCTGTCAAATGAACAATATAAATAATATAGAGACAAAAGTAAGACAAGGTTTATAGTGGTTCAGTCAACGTGATTTACGTTCACTTTGAATGGTTAGGATCGTCGGGTATTTTATTAACTTAAGTGTATAGGGAGAGCACAGAGTTACAAGTTAAGAGAGATAGGAGAGAGTTGTGCTCGACTGAACCCTCCAGTGTTGGCAAGGTTTACAATTTATAGTCGTTTCCTAACAAATTGAGACGACTTAATAGTAATTAAATGACTAATTTGGTGAAACTGTCGACCTCTTCTCAGCGGGAGAGGCAGTAACGGTGCTCTTCATAGGATTCAGTCAATGGGTGACGTGGGGGTTGACTCTTTCCAAGACGGCGTAGATGAGGCTCGTGAATGACCATGCATACTTCTTGTTGATGTAACTCCTTGAACTTGATGAGGTTGATCGGACGTGGACTACTTTGGGCTAGACTTGTTAGATCTTTTTGGAGTTGGGTTATTAATTTAGACTGAACTTATAACATGAGTTGGGCCTTTAAACTTAGCTCATCAAAACAAATTATTGCAGGTTAAACAAATTAAATGAAGAAACACCCAAGACCAATTTTTCAAGAACTAGAAAAAAACCGTCAGAGATGAGGAACAGAGACAGACAGACCAAGATGTAAACAAGACAGATCCTTTGAAGCATGGGTCTTGATCTTGAACGCTGAAGTTAAAAAGCAAACGAGGAGGAGTGATTCCTTACCACTATGACCAATCGATCTATCACCCAACTTACTCAAACAATCTAATGGCTTGGTCCCGTCCTGTTTGGACCACTCTTGAACCTCGAGGGTCGTTGACTCCAGTAATTGATTTATAACAGTAAATTGGATACCACTAGATCATAATTATCTCAATGTGTGTGTGTGGTTGAACTTTTATGACTTTGGTCTTCCTTTAAATAGGTCCAATTACAGCTTATCTTTCTCCAAAGCTGGTTTAGTGATTCGAGCTGTAGCTTTGGACAACTGGATTGCTCCACCATCAAACAATTTCAGATACTTGTTTCCTCTTGAATTCAAAGAAAACTTAGACAATTACTTGTAACATGATATACATGTTTTACACTTGAGATTCCTCTAAGTGGTTGTGCTTTTTTTTTTTCTCTCTTTTTTCTCCCCTTCTCAGAAAAGTATAGGACTACCACATGAAATCTCTTAAAAGACGACTTGAGACATAATCGGATTACATCCCTTCCAAATCATTCGAAATAACTCAGTAGTCTATTTCCCTTGAATTGAATAAGTTGTGCTTTTTACTTGGTTTGGTCTTAGGGGATTGCATTATGGTACCGAAAAAGAAATTTTCATGTTGTACCGAAAGTTATTACTTCTAATGTAACGTTTTTTAAATATAAAATTACAACTGATCGAGATAATTCATGATTTACTTGAATCGGCTATAATTTATCTTTTAAAAGTGATAACTTTTATGATTAATTATAATATTTTGAAATCGATCATAATTTTTACAATTGTAACTTATGGCTCAAAAAATTATAATTTGACATTAGAAGTTATAAATTTCTGCAGTAGTCATCCTTGGTCTAAGGGGTTATCTCCGATGGTTTTTTTCTTCTCTCATTTTCTACCTTCTCTCTTTTTACCAAGTTTGGTGTGGTAGGTTCAGTGTCGTGGTTTAGTGGGGTACAGGTTAAACTTCTCACATTGAGGTTGGAGATTTGAGTCTTCAGGGTTATATTGGGGCGTAGTGGTAGATCACTATACTAGCCTAGCTAGTTCATTTCCAAGAGAAGTAATTGGCGCGATCAAGAACTTCGTGATCCCACTAAGACCTATCAGGATGGTCTTTGAACGCTCTTTTTGGCCCCGCTCTTTTTTCAATATCATAAAAAAAAAAAGTTTGGTGTGTAGGGGATCTCTCTCTCTATCTCTGTCTCTCTCACACACACAACTAGTGGATATGAAATCATGCTTTCATTTGGACGGTGACTCTCCTACTTCATGATGCAGATATCCTCCTCCTATACTTTAATCCTTTCTTGTGAATCCATTCCAATTTTCACAGACCAATAATATTCAATAATAAAGTGCAGTTGAGCATGCCTTTGTCCCCTTCCGTCCTACCTTGGTCCTTGTTATTTTCAGTGCTCTCTTTTTCCTCAGTCATAGGCTGTAAAAGCCTCAGCATTCTCTCTCCTCTCTTCATAAAAGCCTCAGAATAAGACAACATCAACCCTCCAAAACCCACCAGCTTTTTCATTATTTTATGCACCAATATGACCTGTCTATCATGTGCTAGTCCAGTCCACCTTTACTTTTTTGTCCTCTTCTATATTACCGTTTTCTTCTCCAACTACTTGATGCATATATCAGTTGGTGTGTAAGTAAGAGGAAGATTGGGTATTTGAGTGCTTGCAGCTTTGTGGGTTTTGATTGTTGAATCATGAGAGAGAGAGAGAGAGAGAGTGAGAGTTTTGTTGAAGAAGGATGGAACAGGGGTGTTTGGAATGAAGTTTGATCCAAGATCCTTACATGCAATTCATGGAGAGATCTCGGACCAGGCTTCGTTCCTCACATCTAACTTTCCTGCAGGCACATACATCCGACTAATTCTATGTAAGGCTCTGTAAGCTCTCATCTTGATCAAGATTTCTCTTTAAAGAGCTTAAATGAGTGAGAACAAGTCAGTCAGGTCAGGTAAGCTATCATTGATCTTGATTTTATCTGATCAAGTTTTTGATTATCATTCTTATGGTTTGGATTATATATTTTCTTTGATTTATTTTCCAGAAAATATTTAGAGTCATTGCTGTTAAGGTGTATGACACGACGTGAAATTAGAGGGTTTAAATCTTTATTAAATCACCCGTTTAATAAATGAGTGTACTCGACATAACGTGATAAATAAACGAATTACGTATGCGTGAAATCAATCAAAAAAATACACGATACGAATCGTTATCGATTATACGTGATTCATACATGATGCGAATCTGATGTGATACGATTATTTGATACAATTAATAAACGAATTGGGTATAGATGTAATATATTTTACACGAACCCTCTAAGACTTGATACGAAGCCCGCTCACTCGACACGATATTGATGGGCCTAATTGCGATTTATTTAGGCTTTTTCAATCTTCCATTGATCTGCTCTCTTTTTTCCCCCTTTTTTTGATCAGACATGTAGTATTTCATGGAGGGAGACGACAAGGTTCGAATCCGCAATCTTAAGATCCAAAAACGGAGCGGTGGCCATTAGGCCAACTGCTAACCTCTATTGATCTGCCATTAAGTGTATGGATCAGGGGTGGATTTGCAGCGCGAACAGCTACCCCACTGGAATTTGAAAAAATATTATGGTGTAATTGAAATTTTTGAAGTTTTAGAATTTGTTAACGATTGCCCCCACTGAAAAATTTTTAAACTTAAGGATAATAATGTATAATTTCAATCATGTGGGATCCCTCTAAACGTTAGCAAAACTAAAAAGTTACTTTATCAGGGCACAGACCCTGTTTCCTTTATTCCGGCCAGAACTCTATCCGTTTCCTTTGTGATCTTTGTTTGTTCGACGTCCATGGATCCTTAGGCTCTTTCTTTGTTCTAGCTCTACACTCTGGAAATTCGTTCTCCTCAGTTTTTTACTCATTCTTTAGTGATACCTCTCTATTTTTGACTTCAATTGTTATTGTCAAGATCTATTGGGAAAATAGCTAAAAAAGATGTGAACTTAAGCGATTCTTTCAAAGTTGGTTTGTCGGGAGGTAAACCATAAACAATTTATTTGATTTCGATCATTATTATATGTTTTAATTTTTGGGCCAGTGATTAGGGTTTTCAAATAAACAAGAAAGTCCAACTGTGTGTTAGATAATATTGCATGAAACCCTTTCTTATTCTTACCCCCCATGCCCATGCCCACCCCAACATACACACAGAGAGAGAGACACACACACCCCCAATACACACACATCTCATTGAGTATTCACAAATGCTATGGGGACAGATCTTTTCAGTTTTCTATATTGCACCAATCCTAGTAGGTATAGGAGGTGTCATAATTACTTATGTTATTGACCGATTCCTTACCTAACAGCTAGCTATTATCACGACACTACCAATTCTTTTGCAACCCAATAGTGGTGTTGTACACACACACACACACACACACACACACACACACATATATATATATGAATTTATAGAGATGTATATGCTAGTGTATGTGCCACTTGATACATTGGATTATGTGTGTTCATTTAAGTGAAACTGTCGTTCCAAAGCTTTCTAGAGGTGCCTACAAGGGAGTGAAAATAAACAAGAGAACCTGATTTCTGCCATAAATCAACAACAAAAGTGGTAAATATGTTGGTCGTAAAATGACCCACAAAAGTTATAAAAATGTCCTTTAAAGAAGTAAATTTTAGAG